CCCCGCCCCGCCCGCGCGACCAGCCACGCGCAGCCAACACGGTGATAAGGATCACCCGCAGATCAGGAATACATCTCTCGCACGCTTACAATAATAAATTTCACAGTTTTTGACATATCGTACGCGAATAATGCATTTTGCAAAATTTTCCCTACAGGCTACCTATAGAGGGTGGCCCGTTGGCACCGTTCTTCCTTCTTTGGTTATACGGTACCGGATGCAGGCGTGCGAACGGGTCGCCTACTCGCACGGGGCCGTAAGGCACCTCGGCGAGCGATAGGCTTCCGGTACAGGCATATAACCAGCAGAAACAACGGCGCCGATGGGCCATCCAAAATATTAACTGTACTCTGTCAATTCAAATGTGTACATGGTACACAATAAAGAAAGTGTACATGGCATGTATGCTTTAATTAATGTGTACATACAACCGTTAGTATACATGCCATGTACACATCTTTTAATGTGTTCATGTGTTTATAAATGTGTACATAGGCATGTACACATTAATTTTTTTTAAAGCATACATGCCATGTACACTTTATTGGCTGATTGGCTAAGCGATTAGCGAAGCCTATTACTCCGTCTGGTCGACGTCTGGTCGGAAAAAAAAACTTTTTCTGACTGTCTGTCTGTCCGCACGATAACTCGAAAACGAATTAAGCTAGCGATCTAGGATTTTCAGGGTCGTTTTGTGTTATAAAAAGACAGATCGAGTTCGGAGATGAGCTTTCTAGCTCAAAAATTGGTTTAAAAAAATCAAAAACAACGGGTCCCAAAAATGACGTTTTTTGAAAATATTTTTTTTTTGCTTACCTGCTTGGGGTAGCCAATCTCTTTTTCCCCGAGTAGAAGCGATATGCATTGCAACTGCAATGACGCGTCGTGGGAGCCAGGTTTCGCACAGAAAAGCGGCGTAACCCATAGGGAAAGGTAAAAGCGAGCGCCTCTATCCTGGCGGGCCGGGGCCGGGCCGTGCGGCCCGTGCAAGTTAGTTGTGCCGCCGCGGCAGCGGCTCGTGCCCCCTGCCCTGCTCACTCAACGCCCCCCCCCCCATTTCCCCCGTCTCCCATGCCTGTCCCGCGCTTCCTCCGCGGACCGCACAGCGTCAGGCAACCAGGATGGTCAAGATTGGTCGGTTGAATGAATATACGGTTCAATAGTCGGGTTCTTTATTCAAAATGATATAAAATATAAACATTGCTGAAAATTTTGACGAAATCTATGTCCCATCATTTAGAAGGCTGCGGCTGTGTAACCAAACTTTTTACCTTTTACTAGAACTATGTCCAGGGTGGGTGTTCTAGGCCGTACTTTTTCCTGGTTATACTGTACCGCAAACAAGCGTCGCGGAAGGATAGCGTACTAGCACGGGGACATAAGGCGCCGTGGTGAGAGTCGGTAGGCAAAGCCCACTCGCACGCCTGCATACGGTACTGTATAGGCAGAAAAAAGAAAACTTAGAAAGAACTCTCCCCAAATGCAAGAGATATAAGTTAGTTATAATATATGTTTCGTTTGGTGCACATGTATGGAACTCACATGGAACTTACATTACATGTAAAGGGTTGGGGGTTACGTGGGCATCTGGAAGGATACCGTAACTTGGTATTCATTTTAAAATGATATAGCAATTTAGCAAAAAAAATTGTGCAGATTGAAATAGAACGCTACTATGGCATTTACAAAAATGCAAAAACTTTGTTATTGAAAGTGCACTGTTAAATCCTTACAAACTCAGCTTGCGGAGCACTTGGCAGCTATGTAATACAAAGGATTTGCAGTTGCTGTGCTTACTAATATGACTTGTCCAGACTTTTTGTTTCACGGGCGAGCTTTGACATTGTGTCAACGTGTCCGATGGTCCGGGGCGGTCCCGCCTGCGGTCGGTCACGCCGGTCCAGATCCAGAACGCTCTGGAAGAGAGTATCGGCCCGCCCCGTGCAGAAGCGCTGCACATCCCTATTCATAGCCTCCGTGTTCGTGACTGGACACTGGAGGCGCGCAGACTGGTAGTCATCGGGATGTGAGGGAAACCAATCATGGGAACTCGGCTCAACGCGAGCATTCCAGCCGGGTGTCGCATTTGTGTACGCCCCTTCTTGTCGCGTGCCTCGGTCGTGCCGTATAAAAGACTCCGGCTGGACACAACAGCCGTCTGTACTCGGGTCGACGTCGTCCAGGACACAGCTCAGCCAACCCCAGCCGACGACATGCAGCAGACGACGGTGAGTCTTGGCAGCCGCGGAGCTGGGGAAGTGCTATCAGCGGAACCCGCCGGCGCTGATCGCTGTCCTCTGTCCAACAGGTGCTCGCCGTGGCCGTGGTGGCCATCCTCGCGGTCGGCCTCGCGTCGGCCGCCCAGCCCGACCTGCCCGTCCCGGAGGGCGGGCTCCTGCGCCGGCTCGCGCCCGGCCCCGTCCCTGACGGCGACCTGGACTTGCGGAGGTTGGCGCCCCGAGCCGTGGTCCCCAAGGGCGGCCCTGTCCCCGTCGCGCCCCCTGCCCCCGGCAAGGGGCCCAAGCCTAAGGGTGCCAAGGGAGACGGCGACCTGGAGGGAGCCGAGTCCGTGTACGGCTACCCCTACGGATACTACGGCTACCCCTACGGCTACTACGGCTACCCCTATGCCTATGGCTACCCCTACGGCTACAGCTACGGCTACTACCTGGGATGAGCGCCAACTTCGGAACCACGTGCGTGACGTCGGGCAATTGCATTAAGATAAATAATAAAATAATCGTTAAACAATGCAAATTGTTTCGTCGCTCTCTTGGTCTACCTGTTTATTCTTGGCGCGACACAATGCCACAGCTTGACGTGTAATGAGTCGTTCTCTCACTGCCCTCCTCACCCCCCTCACACATGTGTGCAGACGATTCCACCCCTCTTCCCTCCGCCGGGGCCCTTCCGGGGCCGTGCTGACGCGCTGAATGCTTTACTGGCGAGCGTCACAAAGCGCAATGAGAGATTGAAACAGGCCGGGTCGGGGTTGGGGGGAGGGAGAGGAGGGGGCGAGGAGGAAAAGGAGGGAAGAGGGGGCACCAGCGGCGAGTAGCTTGAGGAACGCGCGCCCCTCGCGCCCCCGACACTAACTGGGCAGCGCGCGAGAAAGTACGGCGGCGTGTGATTCATATTGGTGTGCGGCCCGGTGGGTTGCGAAGGGAGGAAAGAGTGAAGGAATGGAGAGGAGGAGGGGGGGGGGGCTTATTGCTGCCCTCCTCGCTAGATGCACAATATTTCAAATATACAACAAGGAGAGTCTTAGAGCCGTCGGAGCGCGGATTATGCGATGCGGTGGCTACATGCTCGGTTATAACAATAATGGGTCCGAGGATTTGATATAGAGGCGGCGTGACTGGCTCGTGCTGGCTCGCGGCAATTAAGTCCCCGCCCCGCCGGCGCACATGGCTAAAAGGAGCGGCGAGTCGGGCGCTGGTGCGGCCCGGCCCGGCCTGGCCACCGACTTACACTGCTTCTTGGCACCGCCGCCGGCACCGAGACCCCATCGACGACACGCTCGCATTGTTCACTGTTTAGCGGGCCGGCTCTGGCCTGGCCTGTCTCGCCGAATAACTGATCGAGTACAACGCGAGGACAGCAGCCGCGCGGCACTACTCGCCGTTAGGGATCACACCGAGAGAAGGTCCGTTTTACTCAGATTCATTACGGCAGATTACGGGAGCTCGGCGCCTGTGAGGCTTGGGGTAGGCCACTCCGCAGCACACGCACGCACTGCAGGCGAGATGTTGCCTACCTACCGGGCGCTATGAGGGCTGAGTAGAGCTCCGTGAAGCTCGTGCAAGGCTGACAGCCACCGCGTGGCCGCGCCGAGGTGCAGCGCTGGGACGCAGCTTCTCCAGGCACGCCGTTGGAGACTGTTAAGACCGACGCTGTCCCGCTAATCCCGCCTTCTGCGAGCCTTTCTACGTCACTGGAGGGGAGGGGAAGGCAGGGAGGGGTTAAGGGGAGCAAGCAATGTGAGACGTATGGGCCCGCTCGACAGAGCTCGAGACAAGACACACCACTTGGCCCACGTGCCGAGGAGGGGGCGGGGAAGGGG